TAAATTATGTAGGGTAGAACTAGGTTAAAGATCACGGGTACCCACAAAAGAACTTGTATTTCTGAACTTAGAATTTGTATTTCACAAATTTTTTATCTAGTTAAATAATGTAGCTATTACTTTGTGAAGTCCCTTTAAATTTTAAAAAGGCGTATTCTTAAAAGGGTAGTTTCTATATTAATCATACAATTAATATGAACCTTTATCCCGACTTTGCTTTTCTTACCAATGCCTGTCATTACGTATTCACCATGAAGGGTTCACATCAAATGACATTTTATCAAGCCGAGAAAAGCTATTTGTAGTTTAGCATATATTATAAAGGTGTAAATTGTGAATATACTTTAGGCTTACACAATATGCTCATAAATCAAAATTACATGAATGGAAGAATTATGACCATCGAGGGAGCACGTTTCGGTAATGGGTTCACGTAAATAGAAACAACCATGTTATGTCATTAACATGTAACACGTACCTACACTTGTATGTAACAGAAATAAATTCGTTTTTATTTGCTTAGTAAAATAAGCTTATACAGTTTTGATGGATGTTCTAGATTATTAATTGCTGTCATTTTATTTATGACCTACAAGGGTATTCCTCAAATTCAAACGACATTTTTCTTCAATCTTCATATGTACCACGAGATAATGATAAAATAACTACTGTTGTAGATTAAAACATCGATTTTTTTCATAGAATGATAAATATTATAGCCTTGCAAATTCAAATTTACAAATTTGAATATAGTTGTGTATGGCATCGTGCCTTAAGGCAAATTGCTGGAGCTTCAAATTTTTTAAATTTAATTTAAAAAAAATCAATTTTTTCTTTAGAACTCTGAAAAAATCGATATTTGAGATTTTTAAATTTTTGAATAAATTGACGTTTTTGAAAAATTTGATTTTTTTATACTTTGAAATATTTGAAAATTTTGAACTTTTTTTCAAAGCAATTGCGATACGTTAGCTGCCTAGAAACGAAATATCGAAGCGCGTGGGCGCTGCGTTGCAATTGGATAAACATTGGTACGGAACCGATAGAAAAGTGAACAAAATCTGTTATTATTATTATTAAAAATCTATAAAATATGTGATAATGATATGCGATGTGATGTGCATATGTAATGATCATTTTGTCCGCCTAATGATTTTTTTTTCGATTACAAATGATTTCGATTTTTTTGCGATTACTATAACTTACTCTACGGGAAGTTAAAAAGATTCTATCAAAAAATCAGTAATTAAGGACTTGAATCTGGGACAAATATTGCTTTTAGAAAATCCGGGATGCAAGGTGGTAATCCGGTATTGACCCGGCCAGCCCTGGACGTATTGTCACCTTATATTTATACGTTTTTTTTTTCAATATTTAAAATATATCATCACATATTTTATATAGATTTCTTATTTTTAATATTCAAGATTAGTCACTGATAATAAATTTGCTACAGAATAAAGTGAGGAGACCGAAGAAGATGATAAACGATAATCTATAAGCTTTAGATTCTGTAAAAATATTTCAGAGTGTATAACAAATTATATCAATTATAATATGCCTACCATCATTTAAAGTCAGATAGGGATTGTTGTGACAATTTTTTAACCGAAATTTCATGATTAAATTAAAAACTATGAAAAATCGAACCGCTGAACTGTACTGGCTTCTGGGACGCAGGTCAATTTAAGAAAAAAAATAAATTAAATAATAATAATAATAAATAAAATTTTATGATATTACAATTTTATATTACGTGTCAAAAATTACAGTAGATATAGCAGTATTATGCAGGACAGTTTAAATGCCAATATAGACAAAAAAATATTTTCATATTATTTAAGATTCTATTGAAAAAACGCCTGTTACTATTTACCCCTGTAACTATAAGCCCCCTTAACTCCCTTATATTAATCATTTATTTATGTATACGTGTATGTTTTAATTTCAAATTTTACGAGCAAATACAATATCTGCATTTGTATAAAACATTAACTGCAAAAACATAATTATTCTTAAGTCGTTTAGACTAACAATAAGCGCCTGTTGAAAGTTCCGTTTTCGCGCGTAATAATTCTCCGTTCTGATTGTTCGCAATAAATTATTCCAAAGTTAATCAATAAACGTATGATATAAATTTAATTAAACGAGACTAATTATACAGAATTTATTATACTACAGGGCTTTGGAATGCTAAAGATCTCATTGTAGAGTAACAAGAAGTATTGTTGCACTCGCATTATGTATACTATACTGCCTAGTATTATATAAAATATAATTGGCTTCAAAGTGTTCGGTTTGGTGGTTCTTAAAATTAAGCCTAAGTGAGAATCAAAGTTTTTTTGCAAAAGTAGTTCTTATTCACTTCATACTTATTATTCAAAAAAAATTAAGAATTGATGTAATATTAAAAATTAATCTATTGGCAAACGTTTGTCGGTGGAACGATGGGTACAAAACTATTATTTTTCATAAAGCAAATCTTATATATAAATTGCATCTCAAATTTTTAATTTGACTTTTAGTAAAATACTGTCTAAACAAAATGAACTACTTGAGGACACACAACTAAACAAACAACTATCGAACTATGTTCAGTAACATTTGCAGTTAAATTCTATTATATAAATTTTTTTTTTTTTTCTCGTTTTCTAAAATTTGTCTTATAAAATGTTTTTTTTGTGTTCCGTGGGCGATGAGAAGGAACAGGCGAAAGGCAAACAGATCCAAAATTTTTATTTTAATTTTTAAATGTATTTTCAAAAATACAGCTCACATAGCTCATTTTTGAGAATAGTTCGAACAGTTGGTTTTGGCAGCAACAGATTCAGATGATTCGTTCTGAGATGACAGTAATAATATATTACTATGAATTTCTTCTTGATTTGTTGCATTCTATATAAACGTCAGAAATAAAAACTGTTATAGCGTTATTCGCCTACATTCCCCGCCAACATTGCTCGCCAACAAATGTTATTTGGAACAATATTTTTATGTAATATATTCTGTATAATATATAATTCTGTATAATATATGTACGAGCTCAATGACCTTTATTATATTCAGCTTCTAACCATATCCGGCTATCTTTGAAGGATAAAATAGAAAAAATGTCACTATTTACAAAATGCTATATAAACTTTTCACAAAAGTTCGAGCAGCAGAAAGAACAATTATTTTTGGGGTTTGATAAATGAAATAAATGAGTTTATGAAGTTGGGTGGGACGGGGCATATAGGCCCAATTTGAATTTGAGCAATTATTTGGTGAAAAACTAAACTAATTATATAACAACAAATAACACAACTGTCTGAGTATAGTCAGTAAAACTTTCAGCTAATTAATCATTGTAGATATATGTTTTTTTCTATTTTTCAAAAATAGTCTCTTGTTCTTCTAACCCCATGAGCGAGTGAAATGAGACAGCCACAGTGAAAAAAGATATACCATTTTATTTTTAATTTAAAAAAGATTTTATAGAATAATATAATTGAAAATCATAATCTAAATTTGGTTTTTTAAACATAGAACAAAAATTTTATAAACTCTTACTGCTATCATAAATCTTGCTTTGGTTGATATTTGGATATTTCTGTTTAATTTATTATTAATCATTACAAATGCTGTAAATATAACTTTTGTTTGAAATACATATTTTATGGGCACATTTTTTTTATAAAAAGTGCACTGAATACAGCCTTCATAAAAGTATTTA